AGGATGCGGGGCTGGACTCCTCTCTGTCCCTGGGAAGGCGAAGCTGGCCGAGCTGCCACGGCCCCAGGGGCCACGTTGTCACAGGCGTGTCTGCTGGGGGCTGCTCTTATGGGCTCTCCCTGCCCTGCAGTACAGTGGGCACACTGCGGGTGATGGCCATAGCAGATGGGGAAGGTTTGGGGGTGGAAGCCGGGCTCTTGCCACAGCCCTGGCTGGAGCTGGGGTGCCAGGGCCAGGCTGCGTCAGGGTGCCCCAGGCAGGCACGGCACAGGGTGGGTGCAGGAGTGCAGTGGGACCCGCCCGGGCACTCAGACCACGAAGTGGAGCCCGTACGTCATCTGATGGCCATTGTCCCAGGCATAGAGCACCTTCTCCTTGGGGTTGTAGTCGACCTGCGTGGTGAAGGAGTAGTGGTTGAGGAAGGGCAGTCGGAGCTCTGCCTCCGTGTCTGTGTGCGTGTCAAAGGCATAGGAGATCTGCCCTTCCTTTTGGCTGTAGGTGTCCACAGCATAGAGGATGCCACAGATGATGAAGCAGTTCCCGTATGTATTGCGCTTCAGACCCGTCTTCCAGGTGGTTTCCTTGCGCACCGAGAGGTCCACGGGGTCAAGTCGGCTGAGGACGATCACCTCCTGCTGTGAGTAGTCATAGTCCACCGAGGGGTAGATGACCCAAAGCCCACTCTCATCCACAGCGAAGTCGATGTCCGAGTGGCCCCTCCACTTCCAGGGCGTCGTGTCCTCATACACCACATCGTGGAGCTGCGCCCAGCCTGCCACGTATCGCTCCTTCAGGTCGTACTTGATGATGTTCTTGGTGAAGGCACGGTTGTAGTAGAAGGCTCCTCTGTACACCACGTGCCCAGTGCCAATCCAGTTGTAGGGCAGCTTATAGAGGTTGCTCCAGCGGCCTGTGAGTGGGTGGGAGAGGTGTTGGGGCCCTCCACAGCACTGGGACCCCATGCACGATGGCCAGAGCATGCTGGCAGCAACAGGGGACTTGTGTCCCCCTTGCTGCCCTCTGGGTGCTCCCCAGCTCCCCTCAGCTGCCCACCATCCCAGGGCCCAGCACAGCTGGTGTCACACAGCACTCAACACCCGCCCAGGAGGAGCCCCTGTGCCCACTCAGCCGCTTGCCCCTCACCCTGCTTGAAGTTGTCGAGGCTCCTGAACTCCACCAGGCTGTTCCCATAGTAGTAGTTGGTGACGTAGATGCGGTCATCCTTGGCTGCTGGGTCCTTCATCCAGGCCCCCTCATTGCGCCCGTAGCTGTGGTGCTCCGTGGGGGGCTCCACTGACTCGATAGTGCCTTCGCACTCCACCTCCTTTACTGGGTGCCGAGGGGGAGGAAGAGGAAGGCTTATCCCTGCCCCAGGCAGCAGATTCCTCCTTCTTCCCCGTGGCAGATTGCTGCTGGCTCAGCTTGGCCAGGGGCGCTGGGAACACAGGGCTGGGTGCCCTCTCCCAGCCGCCCCTGCTCACCCACCTCTGTTTGGTGTTTCGGGGTCCCCGGTGCTGTCAGCCCCATGCCCGAGGACAGGGCCAGGGGGGCTGCGGGTGGTGCTGCGGGGGGCCAGGGCAGTGCTGGGTGCGGCCGTGGTGCTGGACACGGTGGTCTCTGTCTGTGCACCAGCTTGGGCTGGGGTGCCCTCAGCTGAGGGGGGTGGGGGGCCCCTCTCCTCCTGCTGCTCTGACACAACTGCCCCTCTCACAGGGCCTTCTGTGGGGGGACAAGCTGGGGGTCAGAGTGTTTGCAGAGACAGGCCCTGGCCCTCTGCCTTGGTGGGATGTGCCCTCTCAGCCCCCCAACCCTGCCCTGTCTCCAGACTCACCATGGCTGCCGGCCGGACCCTCCGCCGCTCCGACCTGCCCGACCTTGTAGTACGTGATGCCTCGGACCACAGTCTGCTGCTGCGCCAGGGGCTTGGGCTTGGCTGTGGGCTGTGACCCTGCCCTGGCCTTGGTGTTCTCCTTTTTGGGCTTTTCGGGCTTCAGCGGCTTCTCCTTGGGTGCTCGGGTGCCTGCCCTGTCCCCCAGTGCCTTGCGGGTGCTGGGGTACCGTCCCACCTCTTTCTCTCTGCCACCTGTTGTGTCCTGGGGGGCACAGCCTGGTCGGACCCCATTCCCTCCCTCCTCCTCCCTGCCACCACCATGCCAGGCAGTGGGCACAGGCACTAGCCCAGGCGTCACTCCAGTGCACCTGCCACAAGCCTGGGGAAGTTCCCACTGTGCCTGCATGGGGCTGGGCCCTGGGGGGTTCCTGTGCCTTGGGGTACCTGGGCCTTGCTCTCGGGGATGGCAGCTGCATCCTTCTGCAGCAGCTGGTAGCCCAGGTTGGAGATCTCCTTCTTGATGCTGATCATGATGTCAGAGTAGTTCTCGTAGCGTTTCATCTGGTCAGTGAGGTGCTGGATGCTCTCCTTCATGAAGTCATTCTCTCTGCTCAGGTTGGTCTTGATGGTCTGCAGGAGAGGAGAGGCTGGAGCACCATTCAGGGGCTCAGCTCAGGTGGTCCTGAGCTGCCCGGTGGGGACACTGTGGGGATGGTGCTGCTGGAGCTCACCCACCTCCTCCAGCATGTTCATCTGTGCCACCACCTTGCTGATGTAAGAGTGCACCTTCATCAGGTCCATGCTGTACAGCGTTCCCTCGAGCAGGTCCACCATGGACTGCAGCTGCAGAGAGGACGCAGGAAGGGGCCCTGGGGTAAGGGCTACGGCATGGGGCACAGGGCAGGGGCACGGCTGTGCAGCGTGGGGATGGGTCTGGCCCCCAGGCCCACACCACAGATACCTTGAATAGCTCAGGGGCCTGTTTCTTCAGCTTCTCCATCTTCCACTCATTCTCACAGGGGTTGAGTGAGGAGGGGGGCGCGGTGCAGGAGCACTTGCAGTCAGCCCCCGAGCTCACCGTCTCCACGGTGTAGAAATCCTCCACGCGCGCGCTGCCGTTCCTGACGCGGCTGCAGGCGTCCTTGCTGAGCGGCCGCAGGATGCACTTGCAGCGGCAGTCGGAGCCCTCCGAGGTCATCCGGACCTGATCCACATCACCCAGAGCCTGCAGGACAGGTGATGAGCCAGGTGTCCCACCCGGGCATCCCACAGGACCTTGCCGAGCCCAGCAGACCATCACAGCCACCTCCCTCACTGCTGCTTGCCCAGAGATCTCCCACTGCCCCTGGGGCTCACGGTTGTGCCCCAAAGAGTGTGAGGCATTGTCTAGTCCAGAGCAGCCTGTCCCGCCGCTCTGTGACGAAGCCCAGGGAGCTCTCATCCCTGCAGCCACCTGTGTTTTGTGGCCCAGGTACTTCAGTCTCTTTTCCGTGGCTGTTTCCCAGACTCCAGCAAGACCTCAGTGAGCAGGGATGGTGGCATGAAGACGCAGCAGCGCCTCTGTGCCCCCACGGCACGGCTCCAAGCCCACACAGGGCTCGTTGTTTGTGGTGACATGCAGCCACCTCGGGGTGAGCTCGGCCCCTCAGTCTGCCGCGATGGCCCGAGGCACATGCTCAAGGACTCCCTTGTTTCCACACATGGCCCTGATTCACGCCACAGAGCCCAGGGTGCTTTTCGGCTGGTTTAGCTAATTTCTCCCGTTGTGCTCAGGAACAGGGGAGCTGAGTCCCTCTCACCCCCCGCCACCGACTATGCACCCGCGGGGGACCCCCGGGCTGGCAGGAGCACGGCCAGCACGCTCCGGGTGTCCCAAGCGCAGGGATGCGTCTGCTCCAAGCACCCGGGAGGGTGGGAGAGACGGGAGAGGCAGTGCGATGACCCCGGAGGGAGAGGGACTCTGACTCATCCTGGGAAACAGAACGGTGGCAGAGCTGGGAAACAAGTTGAGCTCTGGCTCCCTGTCCTCCCCGGACCACAGCGGAGCACAGAGCGCCGTGGGAAAGGGCAGGGGCCCGCGGGGTGCATGTCCTGCCTGCCCGCAGCACCCACGGCATCCCCCGGGGATCCAGCGCAGGGCTGGTGCGCCGCTGGCACCGGGACAGAGGCTCCCCCTGAGCTGGGCACGGACCCCCAGCTCCCCACAGCCCACATGGGCCAGCGGCTTCCTCCCCTTTCTGAAGGGCTGCAAAACTTCACGCATTTTGCATTTCAAAAAACCCTCTTTCGTTCAAAGGGAAACCAGGTCCCGCTGGCTGAAGGAAAACACCAGGAAGCCAAAGGGCTGTAAATTGAGTAGAATCTAATCAAGCTCTCAGCAGGGAGCGGGGCAGGGACCCCCTCCCCAAATACCACTTCGGCAGGCTCGCAAGTCCCCGGGCCCCCTGACCTCTCCCATGGCCACGCCGGCGCTTGTGCAAACACGCAGGACGATTCACAGCCAGCACCGAGCTGCCGGCCCCTCTCCACAGCCCCGCAGCACCCGGGGCTGGGCAGGGCTGGCCACGAGCAGCGTCCATCCGTGTGCACGGCGCTGCCTGAGGTCCTGGTGCGCACACATCCTTGCGGGAATCCCGTGAGAGATCCTGGTGAGCCCCACTGAAGTTCCCAGCCTGGGTCCCCCGTTCGTGCCGGCACCGGTGTGGGTGCCACTGCCGCAGCACAGCCCGACCCCGGCGCATGCTGTGACCCCACCTGCTCCCAGCACCTTCTGCAGGGCAGGGCTGCAGCTGCCTGTGCTGGAAGCTCGTTCCCGAGGCAGCAGGTGACCGTGGGCTGTGCATCCCCTCCCTCGGCCCCGGCACGCTGCGGCGGGAGGCGCGGGGCCCTCGTGTCCCGCCGGGGCTGAGCTGAGCAGCCAACCCACCGGAGCGGCCGCGACACCGGGACCCTGCACAGTGTGCGGGTGTCCGGAGCTCAGACCCTCTCCCACGGCACGAAGGGCCAGCCCCAGCCCTTCCCAGAGACCCGCCCGGCTCCGGCCACGTCCACCCCGCGTGGGAAATGCGCTGTGGGTGTCTCTGCAGCTCGGCCGCCCTCCTTCACGTGGGGCCGTAACACTAAACCTCGCTCTGCCGTTTGCCAGCTTCCCTAAACAGGAACTGCATGATCTATTTATACAGAAAAGCCCACAAGCAAGGAAGTATTAAAGCAGGCTCCCACGTAGGGAGACTCTGTGAGGGTCGCCCAGGCGGTTCATCGGCCGGGTGCCCTCTGCCAGCCCTGCACCCTGCAGGGCACAGCCCGCACCAGGGCACGCATAAACCCGCTCCCAACGGGGCACGGGTGCTTGGGGACGTGGTGCAGAGGGCAGCCCACGCTGCTCTGCTTTCTCTGTGGGAATCTGAGCTCCCCAAGAAACCTGTGGGGGGGGGCTGATGCAGCCCTGCCGGGGCTCTGGTGATTCTTTCCCCACTTGCTGCAGACCCCGGCCCGGGGTGCTGGCAGGCGGCTGCTGCCTCTCCTCCAGAGCGGGTCCCAGCTCCACGGGGGCTGCACACACATGGCTGGTGTGGGAGAGAGACCCTGCACTTTGCTGAGGGTTTCCTCACTACAAGTTTTATGAGCTGGGTAATTTTCCCGGTTTCCGGGACCTCTTGCAAGAGCATCCATGTGAGCACAGAGTTTGTGACATTATTTGGAGAAAGCGGGACCTTTGACAATGACCCTTGGCCAGCTTTTAAGCTGTCCTCTGGCTGCTGCCAGAGGACTCGTCTCGGAGGAAAACACGCTGTGTTGAAAAGCCGCCGCCCCGCACGCCTCTGGCACAGCTGCTGGGAGGCATGTCCCCTTCACGGGAGAGAAACCATGTCACCCTCCTCTTCTTCCTCCTCCAGGCTTGGCACAAGGTGTCAAACACGTCCTGCAGCTGAGGCAGAGCGGCGCTGGCAGGGCTGGGCCGTGGCTGACGGCGGCCAGGCCCCGGGCGCTGGCGCTGCTTGGGCGTCCCGTGTTGGTCACGGGGACACAGCCATGCCAAGCGCTTGTGTGGCACACGCGTGCCCACCGATGGGATCTCATCCAACGGCAAGAAGGGAGAAAACACCTCTGAGCACAGCAGGCAGCACCTGCGGGGAGGGAGGGATGGAGGAGGCGACGGCACCGCGTGGATCACTGAATCCTGCCAGCATCACCCCTGGCACCCCGCCGGGAGCCCAAGCAACAGGGCATTCCAGGCTTCGGATATCTGTTCCAAGCTAAGTGCTGCCGACAACAGCTGTGTCAGCGTCGTTTTCCACCAAATGTCTTGGAAAATCCTGTCTTTTTAACATTTGGTGATCCTAGCAGTAGCTGCTCCCACCACTATTCCTCTGGGCTGGGTCCCGGTGTCCTCGCTCCGGCCCCGCTACGGCCACTGACCCCGTGGGAGACGTTTTCCAGCTGGAACCGAGGGCTCCTGGATGCAGGGGGG